CAAAGAAGCGACTAATCTCCTCTTCACTGGCAAACTCAGCAAGAATAGTAGTGTTCCCTAATACACACCTGCGGGGGGACGAGAAGAGCACGTTTTAAACAGAGAGACTGCCTCTCCCTCCACCTCTGCGCTAACATGCGCTCCGAACGCCGTGGCCTAAGCACCCCAGAAGTTAGGTGGGCACTGAGAACCCCTGCACCCTTGCATCCAAAAAGCACTTCAACTCCAATAAGACCTTCACAGCTGCTTAAAGTTTAGACAAAAAAAAAAAAAAAAAAAAAAAAGAAATACTTACATGTGCAGAGATTTTTGTGCCTTCACTACCTCTTCTTTTGAACTGTAACGGACCAAAGCATTACCGTGTGGGAGGTTAAGGTGGAATGTTATTAGTGGACCGTGCTGCATGCACAGAGTACGCAGGGTTGAGCCATCGATCTAGGGATGAGCAGAGGCAGGAGGTGAGAACGGCCCGGACAGAGCTCCGCCGCGCGCAAGGGGCGGCTGCTCGAGCCAGAGCCCCCTGCCCGCACCGTGCCGCGCTCCAGCCTTACCTGAGGTGTAAGGTTTTTTAGAACAAGCCAATTTGTTATTCTCCCTGAGCTGCTCTCACCCCAGCTTGAACCTGAATGAGGGAAAATAAAGGAGTCAGTGCCCTGCCACACTCGTCCCCAGGGCGTCAGGAGGAGCACGAGAAGCTGCGTGGCAGCCGACAGGAACATTCACAAATAAGAAACGCACGTAGTGCTGGTGTTTTCCAGACTTAAACCACCAGAAGGCTACTTTGGGATGGCGTAGGACTTAACGTCTGTAGCGACCCATTTTGTTTCCTTTCTGAAGTGTTTTGAACACGTTAACACAGTTGTAAGTGGCTACACTGTTGTCAGATAAACGTAACCACAACAAAAATACAGAGATAATTGCTTTGACTCTTGTTGCAAGCTCAGAAGGGTTTGGAAGCCCATCTGAAGGCTCCCTGTACTACCGTGATCTAATTCATTACGGTATGAGCCATTCTGTGAAAAATGCCTAAACAGGCAACTGCATTCAGCTGCACAGATGTCAAACTCGGGAAGCGCTTGGGTGGATTGGTTCATACTAAGGACAGACAAAACCATCAGTGCCACCCGTGTTACTGCTGCACACAACACCCAGCCCTGCCCCCAGTTCTAGGCAGGAGAAAGTCTGCCGCAGTGCAGCTCAGGAGCTACAGACCAGCTTTTGCTTTTGGCAAGACAAACGGTACAGATGTTAGCCAACAGTGACAGATCATCTAACCAAACGCACAGGAGATTCCCTAGCTTCATAAAACTAAACCCCTCCATGCACAAAAAGAACAGCCTTACCAGGGGTATATCTGGCATCAGAATTTCCCCATCCTCCACCCAAACGAAGGGAATTATCCCAAGTGGACAACGGTGGCTTCTGGCCTGTTAGCCCTGGAGGTGGGCGGGACGGAGCAGTGATGCTTTTAGGTGGCAAAGGGACCTTCCACAGCTCATGAGCCAGAGAGGTGTTAGTGACTGATCCAGGAGACCACGTTGATTTGGAATCACTGTTTCTGGCTACTAAAAGACACACAAAGACAGCCACAGTCACTAGGCTGCTGGAACCGTCACCTTGCTACAAACAAAAGCCGCTAAATTAGAGCGAAATCAAAACAGCTACTCTGAAAACCAGTGAAGCTGCCACTCAGACAAGACCTCAGCTCTACTTTTTACTAACATTTAGAGTCCCTCTGAAGCAGGTGAAAGGGAAGAAACACCGGCTCAGGGCAATATAAGCAGACATCACCTGAAGTGCTTTGTGCTGTACTGCTGAGGGAAACATTGTAGTTGGAGGCACGAATGGATGACCAGGCACTAGTTGAAGGCAGCGTGGTGTTCAAAGATGAGGATGACCCTGTAATACAGGCAGGAGTCAGTCAGAGCACAGTGCCCCACCAAGGCAATAAAAGGCATGACTTGTGGTGCAGGCTGAACCCGCCCGCACAGCTGGACGAGGGACCTCCTCCGCTCTTCTCAGTCCTCCCCCCGGGCCCAAAGGCACGCGGTGGGGCAAGCAGGCTCAGCAGCAGGAAGCCCCCTGTGCTCGCTGCCAGACGAGCTGCTTACGCTGCTGCTGCAACGGCTTCGCTGCCAAGCTCTGCTTGCCTGCTTCCAACCGCGCTGCCTCGGCGCCCGCGGGCAGATCAGCAGCGTTCGCTCGCTCTACCCGCATTCTTGGAATAGCTGTTGCACTGCAGCAAGCAGCAGCGCCTGAGCCAAAGAGGAGCTTTTTGGCCGTGAAATCCACCATACGGAAGATAAACAAGGAGATGAGCAAGTAGCAAAACGCATCTCCAAGTAAACAGTCTGTGTGTGTGTCTGAAGGAAGATCGGTGCACAGTCAGAAAACGCAGTGCCTGAACATACCACTGTTCCTGTCCCTGAGGTGGTCAACTTCCCGCACAGTATTAATTGAGAGATTGTTTATGACACTGCCAGGAGTGACGTAAGGGTCAGTTTCAGGGTCGATGTTTGGATAACCTTTCCATGGCTCGCCAGGACGAAACTCTAGGAATACAGGCAGAAAAGCAGCTTACTTTGATGAACCTTTTTTTTAAAGGAAACAGCTGTCTAAACAATACAACCCTTACTGGCTGAAGAGCCAAACCCCCAGTTTTAAGCATTTAATTTACTTAATTTAGCCTTCTTTTCACTTTACTCCTTCCTTACTAGTTCTTCTGGTCCTGTCTCACCAGGGTAAACTCTCCAAGCGGGGAGATACATTTCTCTCTGTACCACA